TTCGTGTGATGGGGGTGGGGTTATTCTGCACTGTAAGACCACGGTTGCAAGTTCGTGACTTGGTTCCAGCCACTTCGCTCCCACTCACCTTCATCTGCTTCATCAGCTCAAACATCTGCTCAGGCGGCAGGCTGGCAACTGCTCTGCTGATAGACTCAGGAGCATCTTCAGGATTTATAGGGTCTCCATATGGTGACTCTATGATAGGGGCACCTGTGCCCAAGCCTGGCAGGGATAGAGAGGGGAAGACAAAGAGGAAAGGTTAAACACACAAGTGTCCTGAGAACCCTAAGCTGCTGGTCTCAGTCTCGTTTCATATCACAGGAGTCACCAGCACAATTGCTGGTGCTTTCTTGCACTGACCCCTTCAGCTGAAAGGCCAATAACTCAAGGATGATGTACTCACAGCTGCATCTTCACAAGCAGGAGGGAGGGATATGTACTTTTGAAACACAGATTCAGGAGCACCATTCTGCAGTTGGAGAGTATATGGGTCACTGACTAAAAGTCTGGGCTCTGAACATGCCCAGAATTCCTACTAAGTCAATTAGGAGTTGAGGGCTGTGCCATGGTTCACTAGAAAGATTGTTTCACACAGATCTGCAATACAGTCTCCTACATGAGCCAGGACCCTGGATGTCACAATAATGTGGCTATTCTTCATATACCTCTTTGTCAAATGTGGAGCTTCATTAATCACAAAAAGCAGGTATGGGTAGGGTTTGTCTGGTCATGGAAATTACAATCCCCCCCAAAACTTCTACTTGCTATCTTACCTGCAGCACATCAGCTATCTGTGAGCTTTTCATTGTCAACCTCATCCCAATTCGGGTGGGGGTCTAGATTTTGTGTCTTGGCTAGTAGATTTTTGTTACAGATTTGTAAGGCTGGTTTAGGCCAAACATTATGGTAGCATTAACCCCCTCAACCCAAAGTTCAGACTCACTCTTCAGTTCCTCCTTATTCTTCTCGCTGGCTGCATTGTCCACACGCAACGCCCTCCCGCTGAACTCACGCCCATTCAGGTTCCGCATGGCGCTGAGCGCTGTCTCCTGGTCTTGGTACTCACAAAAGCCATATCCCTTTGGTTTGCCTGTCTCCCTGTCATACACCAACCTGGATGGCAAAGCCGAAAGAATCACAGGCATTAGATGCAGTACGGCACATGGGGAGAGTATTACACAATACCACAGCATTTTCCAGACTGGTAATGCCATCTCCACACCCTCTGTTCAGTCCCCAACAGGATGACGAACTACCTCATTCAAAGCTTGTGTCTGCCAAGTATGCCTGAGACCCATCTGCTTGTGGCTGGAGTGCTGATGAGTGCAGAATCGGCTACAGCTGAGATCACCTGTCTGTTTATGGGAGATGCCAAAAAGATAAACAGTTCTCACCTGAAACTGACGACAGGCCCGACCTCTGAGAAAATGTCCTTTAGCTGCTCCTCTGTGGCTTCGTATGGGATATTCCCCACTATGGGAGAGGGGAGCAACATATCAGTACAGACATCAAGTATCAGGAAAAAACACAGGCATGAACATCTCTCCATGAGAAGACAGGAAAGAACAGAAATGAACCCAGGGATGGCTGCATGAACACACACACACAGACAGGTTTCTGGCAATCTGCTGCAGGACTGCAGACTTTTGTGTATATACACCATTGCTCCTGATGCTCATGTTGGTGCAGTGTCCCATTGCTAGTACAGAATCCAGGCTGGGGCACATTTTAGGACTTTGGTAATGTGCCTCAACCCAGGTACAGGTCAGAAGGGAATTTCAGGAAAGTGTGTAGTTGTTTCTTAAAATAATGGTTCCTATTATGGGCTGGATACTACTACTTATGTTTCAGGATGTTGTGGACTAGTCCACCAGGCTCTTCCCCTCCCCCAAGCTTAATGATGAGCCTATGGTCTCCAGAATGCCAAAGCTGCCTGCCTCCCTTTCAGTTGTGCTGCCCAACCCACTATGGAGCGTAGAGTGCTCATAAAAGTAGGATTAGGAGCAGCCCAAGAGCTCCATGAGAGCTTAGAGTGTACATAATCCAATGGGAGATAGCAGGCAATGGCTAGTACTACTGAAGTCCAAACAGAAAGATTTGCCTGAAAAGGTTAGGAATCACCATCTGAGAAGGTCTGACCTTATTTGTCAGATGAGTGGGTCATACACTGGGTCAGTGAATCACAAAACAGTGGAGCAATACTGGTGCAAGTTCCTTCTTTCTCCCCATTTTTACTATCATGCTGGTATCAATCAGTGCAGGACACAGGTATGTACAATACAAGGACTACAGCGAGCCTGGGACATCTTCCTAACCCTTTATTAGAGGGATGGCAGGTCTCATTTCATGCTTTTTCTGCCACTCTTTTCCTATCTGTTTTAGTGAAAATATTGGTGGAATATTTAGTTTAATCGGGTTTGGTGGTTCCACTTGCCTGAGGAGTATGAAGGGCCCATGCTGAGGAAGGTAAAGGGGACAGTGCTATGATTTTCCACAGCACACCAAGGTGTCTCTGCATCCAGGGCCCAATCCAAAATCTACTGATGTCTCTGGACTTTGGCCCGGGCCCTTAATCAGTGCAGAACAGTCAAAAACTGTGTGTATACTTTTTAACTCCACTCATCACATCAATGAGCAAAGAACGTGAACACAGAAAGGCTCTGAGGAGGATGACACGGCGGAGGCTCAGAGACAGCCTGCACCCCCCGTGAGTAGGAAAATTGGATTTCGGATAGAGGAGCAGATCACTGGTCCATCAGTTCCACTATCACTGGCCAGTTCTTGATGCTTCGGCGGAATGCAGCTCCTGAACCCTGTTACACACCAGGCTGATTGCACACTTCTGCACATCACTTGGAGGGAGGGAAGGGGGAATCCTACAGGTAGTTATCCTGTGACCTGAAGTATGTGATGTGATTACTTCATCTCAGCCTGTATAACAACCAAAATCTCCTACAATTATCCAGTCCCTTTTAAAACCCCTCTGCAATGTGACTCCATGACACTCTGGAGCAGCAAATCCCAGAGGTTGACTACGTGCAGCAGAAAGACATTTTCTTTAGTTTGTTCCTAGAGTACCTGCTATGACTTTGAGTGACCCATTCTTTTATAATGGGAAAGGCAAAGGAGGTACTGCAATTTTCACTAACCCCTTTTAGTCACGTCTAATTCTTCCTTGTCCTGATTAAATAATCACAGCTTTTAAAAACTTTCCATATGCATAAGTCACTTATACAATACCAATTAATCAACACCTTTGGTCCATACAAACTGGGTACACTACACCAAATAAAAACACACCACATTCTGTACCAACCCCACAATAGAGGGATGCTTATGATACATCTCTGTGCAGGTGACATGCATAAGAACAGAGCTCTCTGGAAAACGGAAATTCCATCCCACAAAAAACTTAAGAGTTTCCAAGTTTTTTTCATTCCAATTCAGAACAAAAAGTCAAAAGAACTGAAATTCCCCAAAAATGGTTTGGGAAACAATGAAACATTCCCACTGTCAAGCTCCCCACCTTGCAGATGGGCTGGCTTCCCAGCTCCCTAGGATCACTGGCTGCCTGATGTGCCTAACTGGCAGGCTGCTAGGTTGCCTGGCTCTCAGGGGATCCCAAACTCCCTGCCATGCAGACAACTTGGGAACTGAATAAGGCGGCTAGCATTTTTCCTTGGAAATTTTTTACCAGCTGTACACAAGAGGTAGTACAGCAGAAAAGAGCTTTCATATTGAAAGCAAAAAATGTTCATATCTATATATAGTACGCCCCGTAGACACTTTAGCATCTTTATGCACTTGCAACACTTCAGTCACCACTTGCTCAGGGTAAGTAAAGCATCTCTAGCTTTCTAAGTCAGCTTTACAGTAAGGAACAGGTGAGTTTTAGTGCCTGAGCTGGTAGACTTTCGTGTCTGTTTTGCAAGGCTGCACTGTGTGCTTAATTTCCCTTTTACTACCTGCCTTAGGTTTTCATGTGATGCCCAAGGCAATGGTCTCTTCTGTGCTGCTCCCCCTTACTGCAACAGTCCCCAGGGAAGGCTTTGGGGGCAGGAGATCACATTGCTGTGGGTATTATCTCTCTCCAGCCAGTATCTGGTGAATCACAGATAGCACAAGCAGAGGTTTGAGAAGTGTTTTATTGAGAACCCATTCTGCTCAGAAACACATATTATTTATTTCTGGGGGTCCATTTCTGACACCAGCATTGCGACATCACAATGATCACTACAACAAGCTGCCGTGATGTCACAGAGAAAGAGAGTGTGGGCCTCTATGGAAGGGTCCCTGGTTGTGGGGAAGGGGCGGAGAAGGGGATCTCTACAGGAGGGCTACTCTGTGGGCCTCTGTCGAGGGAAAGCCCTGGGGGGAGTCTCTGTTCCAGAGCAGTGGGTCTAACCGGGGGTGGGAGGGCACCTGGCAGAGGGATGCTCCGGGGGGGATTCCGTGCTCTGGGAAGTGGAGAGGGGAGAGCCGGGATGGGGCGTGTCTTGGGCGCAGAGGAGGCGGGAGGGAGGGAGGTCCGGGAAGCAGATATGGGGGGGGGGGGGGGCGGGGGCCGGGGGGGTCCCGGGCGTTGCCCCCCAGTGACATAGCTGGGTGAGGGAGTATTGGGGTCTCTGTCCCGGTCTCGCTCCCCGGCTCCTGCTCACCGAACACGGAGCGCAGCGAGCGATCCACCGCGGGGTCCCGCACTGCCAGCCCCGCCATCCTTCACCCACCGCCGGTGCAGCGCTTCCAGTCTCTCCCCCCCCTTCCGGCACCCTCGTGCTCCGGCTGGAAACAAGCACAGCCACTTCTGTTCCGCTCGAGCCTCGCCAAGGCTCCGGGGCGCTTCCGTGAGTGAGCAGAGTCTAGCGGCGTTGGCAGAGGCGAGCTCTGCCGCCGTAACCAGGCGACCGGCCCACAGAAAAGATGGCGACGGCAGGCGCCGAACGGCATTAACGACTCAGTTCCGGTGGGAAACACTAACCCCGCGCGTCTAGTTCCGCGCATGTCTGTGCCTCGGAGTCTCCCTCGCGGGACAGGTAGCCGCGTCCAGCCCAGAGCCAAGGGCCGGGGCAGCCAAGCAGTGAGGGGGGGCGCGTGGTAGTGGGGTAAGGGGGTGGGAGCCAGAGGCGCGTGGCAGTGGGGAAAGGGGGTGGGAGGCAGGGAGCACATGGGAGGCAGGGGGCGCGTGGCAGTGGCGTAAGGGGGTGGGAGCCAGGGGCCGCGTGGCAGTGGGGAAAGGGGGTGGGAGGCAGGGGGCGCGTGGCAGTGGGGTGGGAGCCAGGGGCGCATGGCAGTGGGGTGGGAGCCAGAGGCGCGTGGCAGTGGGGTAAGGGGGTGGGAGGCAGGGGGCTAGTGGGGTAAGGCGGCGGGAGGCAGGGGGCGCGTGGCAGTGGGAGCCAGGGGCGCGTGGCAGTGAGGAAAGGGGGTGGTAGGCAGGGAGCACATGGGAGGCAGGGGGCGCGTGGCAGTGGGGAAAGGGGGTG